TATCCTATCATGGCACATGATAGGATAATGCAGAAAAGGAGCAATAAACAGTGGTAAAGTGATGATTCTTTCATATTTTACAGCTTTGAGAGACAAAAAAGAGAGAATGCCATTGTATCTATCTGAGCAAAGAACCAAACAAAAGCATCATTACACATTAGTTGATCACTGGAAGCGTGAATAGTGGCAGAATGACCGAACTCCCCAGCAACCTTCACCACAGCTCATCTGAGCTTTCAAGTGGGTTGTTGGAGCAGAGCATCTACAGGCTGGACAGCAGCTGCCTCCTATTCACACCTACATGGGTGACATGAAATTGAAGCCCAGCAAATCTTGGAGCTTATCTTTTGCAGGCTATCCATGAAATATCCACTCCAGTGCTGGCAGAGCGATCAGTCAAGCATTCAGGGCAGTGACAGAATGCAAGGTTTAAAGACTCAGACCAGGTCAGGTTATTATTATTATTATTATATTGACTAACTGAGGAAGAAAGGCCTTGTTGTCATAGATAGAACCTGCTACTCTCGCAAATTCAAAAAATACGGTGTTGGCAGTTCGTATTACTCTCCCATTTGTTGTGGCTTTCAACACTCTGTGAGGTTCCGATCACAAACATATAGACATAGCAGCCGATGCAGAACAAGGTGTACCTAGGTATTTCATGTAGAGGTGGGTTGCAGAGGACAACAACCAGGTCCCCGAGAAGAAAATGTGCATTCAAGCCATCACTATCAGAAGCTGATGAGTGAAGCAGTAATTGGCTTTGGAAGGAAAGGAAGTACACCAAATGGGCTGCAAGATGTCTGACATGAGGGGTTGAAGCAGAGGGAGCAGACTTGGGATGGCAGGTATTCAACTTGAGCTTTCAGGAGAGTCCACACTGATTTCTTGGTTGGTTACTCTGTTTTCTTCTTCTGAGTCTGTCTTCCTGTTCCCAGTGACTCCATCCGTAGCAGGAAAGAAGGAATTACTCACCTAAACCACTTAATTCCTTCCAAGGAATGTTAGCTGTGTTAGGAGCTAACACTCCTGAGTGTTAGGAGTGCCAGCTGGTCCAAAGACTGGTCCACATGTAACCAGTCAGTCACCCAGCGTTTTTTTTGGTCAGGCCTTATGTTCTTGGGAGTCTCTAAGAACAAGTAAATAAGTGCAAGGTGTGTACTGTACAACATGAGGCAAAATGCACTTACCGTGAGAAATCTGCACATCTGTCACAAAGCGCTCCTTGCGGGGAAATTTGTGTGGTTTGGCAGCCAGATCTGCAATGGCCCTCATGATTTCATCCCA